GTATAAGAGACAGATATTAAGGTACGCCCTAGCTTATCTTAGCTCACTCTGTGAGGGCGTATATCAGTTGTTTGAAGAAGTGTCCTTGGCTAGATTGGCTGTGTACACTCTCCTTGACAGCGAGAAAGAGCGGGTTCGATTCCCGCCTGGGCACTTATACAACAATTAATAAGGAATTGCTTCGTTGATAGGCTATGCTCGATACGATCTATATACCATTTTTTTTTGATCGATTAAAGATGTAGTATTCATAGCACCGGAAAAAAAACTTATTTATACAGATTAAAGGGACACAGGCATTTATATTATAAGTTATTGACGAATTCTTCCGTCTACAGTACATTATCTTTGGATTGTTCTCTATCATCGATCATATTTGTTCAGGTACTAACAAAGAGAAATTGATGAAAATATCGATTTAATTAAAGAGAAGCTATTGATTGATATTTCCAGAGTGAACGTAATTTTACTGTCGTCATTAATTGGGCCAATTTACGGCAATATGGGTCACCGTCAAGAATGATTGCGCCTGAACAAATTGATTTCACCAGTTTCTCTGATTGCAGAAAAAAATTGAAAATTGCCTTTCTTCAGACACGATAGCTATACAATTTAAAATACCCATTTTTACTGATGCATAGGTTGTGGGTTAGTGTTTTTTTGTTTTTGTTTTTTTAAATACAAGTTGATTTACAGTCAGTAAATTTCAGACAATACAGAAGAACAATTTGAGGCTTAATCAGTACATGTAACTCGTAGACAATAATCACACTGACAGCATATGTGCATCTTACAGGATCATATAAAATATATTTGATTTTTTCGCAATTTAAAGCATACCTATTATAATAATTAATATTTAAACTCAATGCATTGCACAATAATTCTAACTTTTAATTATACACTCTTATATAAAATAATGAAATTACAGTAGTACTAAATACATTATTTGTACTCTACAGTACATGAATTACATTGTCTGCCGATAGGTTGGAATACCACCTATTATTCTTACTGTATATGGTAAAGGAAACATTATTATTAAGCATTAGCTACCGCACACAAAAAGAAAATGAGGTTGCTGCCATTTGCTGGGCATTCTTATACGTCACACTGAAATGAGCAATTCTATTATTTTTTAAAGTAAGTTCTGCTGAAGGAAAAATTCACATTTGTCATTTCTAATTTGGAAAAGTATTCACAAAATAAACTCAAACACTACAGATCAGCACCAAAGTCTCATAATTCTTAAATACTAGACATTTTTTTCAATACATTTGTCACACAGACCAATCAAGTCCACTGTTAATACACAAGGGCGGATCCAGAGATGTCCGAAGGGGGATAACACTACCCTTGGGGTCTGGGGAGGATTCCCACACGAAAATTTGGTGTTCTAGACACCCTAAAATAACCTCTGAGGCGCTTTGGCCGATCAATTTTTTTCTTTTTCTTTCTTTCTCTCTTATTCTTCTTTCTTTTTTTCTTTCCAAAAAAAAGGAAGGGGGAGGGGCGGGCCCCCTTAATCCACTCCTGGTACAGAAATGGTAAAGATTTTTGTGTTCACAGAACATTCAATGGCATATCAACTTATTTTAAACAGATTTAAAATATTCATGTAATAAACTTAAAAAATCAAAATACTGTAGTACTAAGGTAGCAGACTGGTAGAAAATGGTATAAATTATACAGTAATTAAAAATAGGAGAGACAATGATAAATATATAGACACACTATCAGGGAGAATGTTAAGAATATAATTTTGTTAAAAGTTCAATGACATAATTAATTTATCACAAAATCAAGATATCACTCACATTACTGAAACAAATAATAATAATAATAATAATAATAATATAATAATAATAATAACAATAATATTAATAATAATTACACATAAAAAACTCATGGAAATATCAAATTGGTAAGGGTTTAAGAAACATTGGACTAAAATTGTTTAATGTTTCTCCAGCTGCCACTTAAAAAATACAATAAATGTAAACGGATGGAAAGGGGGTTTACCATACATCATCTTAGTACTGTACTACCAACATATAACACTCTGGCCCACACTCCCAATTTTTATGTGTCAAATATCTGGGATTTGCCCATACAGTAAATGGACATGATGATGTCATATCACAACCTTATATGGGCATGCTGATGTATATCACACCTATATATGGACATGATAATGTCATCACACCCATATATGGGCATGCTGATATTGTATTATACCAATATATGGGAATGATGATGTCATGTCACACCCATGTATGACCATGCTGTTATATCATACCCAAATATTGACAGGATAATGTCATATCACAACCATATATGGGCATGTTGATGTTATATCATACCCATATATGGGCATGTTGATGTTATATCATACCCATATATGGGCATGGCAATGTCATATCACACCCATATACGGGCATGTTGCTGTTATATCATACCCATATATGGGCACGATGATGTCATATCATATTCATATATGGGCATGTTGATGTTATATCATACCCATATATGGGCATGACAATGTCATATCAAACCCATATATGGGCATGTTGCTGTTATATCTTACCCATATATGGGCATGACAATGTCATATCAAACCCATATATGGGCATGTTGCTGTTATATCCTACCCATATATGGGCACGATGATGTCATGTCATACCCATATATGGGCATGTTGATGTTATACAGTATCATCACAGGTATTTGCCACTTGAAACTTGATGTGCGGACAGAACGTAAGGGAATGACCTCAAAAGCTTGACATCTACAACTGTAACATCCATTTTACATCACAGCTATTGTAACTGATACTGAGTAATAATACTTAGATATAATATTTATTTCATATTTTCCGCTACAATTTGTCATATTCAACATAGTGCAATGCTAGCCCATTACTACATGGGTTGACAGTATGGGGGCTATAACTAGCTAGCCTGCGATGTGGGGTATTGAGTCTTTGCTTGTGTTGACCAAGTCCTCTAGCATTGGCCTAGCTTCATTTCAATTATCAGGTATGTAACTGTATTTCTTTTCCCATTCCAGTCCAGTATTCCGGCACCATTAAGAAATAGCAGTTCATGGCTTCACGAAACCTTGTTCCATACAATTCCGGCGATAAAACAGTTGGCATTTTACCTAAGAAAAAAATTATAAGAATATTTATAGTATAAACAACAATAAATATAACAGAAAAATAATTTTTTTTTTCATTATATTAAAAAGTACAAGTATTAAAAAATAAAACCTACCTTGATTACCAACAGATTTAACAAACATCTCTAATTTCTTGTCCCAAGTAAACGTTCTGATATAATCTATAAAATATTTAAATGAAAAAATAATCGGTGATTATCAACATAAATGAAAACCTATACCTTTGATTTAATATATATTCAATTTTTAGTTAGAGTTGTTTATGGACAAACAATTGTTCATTGTAATCTAACATATCTTCCATAAATATAAGTCACCAAATTTTAAATTGTTTTTCTCATGGATCAGCGGTTAATATTACATTTATTATTATCTGACCCCTGCTAAACTCAGTGGAACAACCTAGTATAAAGTAACTAACCAATGATGCCAACAACAAGTTCATTAGTGGAATCATCTATTCCAACTAATAGGGAGTAATCCATGATAAAGTGACTTGCTAGGAATGTGGAGTCATTCTGAACGGCTCTGGCTAGTACTGTCTTGGTATGTGGTCGGATGTATATTGGTGAATCTACCATCACTGTAGAAATTAAGAAAAAGAATAAATAATTAATAATGATAGTGATATTCACAATAGAATATAAAAATATGGTTTTTATAATATAATTAACCAACCTTTTAATAAATTCTCATCCATAAGGACTATTTCTCCAGTCTCCTCTCCAGATATTTTAACATGACGATTACGTACAGACCCTTTCAAATCAAAGATCTGAAAAACAATAATGACAACATATGTACCATACACAAGTGAAAACAACTTTCAACTTTTCCTCACTTTGGCTCCTTTAATAATTTAAGCTCCTCCAAAAAAACACTTCAGGCTCTATTTTGATGATACCATTGACACACAAAAAAACTAATTGTTAAATAGTATTTATAAACACCCAAACCTACTATTAAACTTTGATTGTTTCTAACTTACTTGTGACATTTTACGATCAAAGAAGAGGTTTTCCATTATGAGTAAGTCCTGCTTAAGAGTTGCATTAGTAAGTGAGTTGCGAAAACCAACACGAAATACTCCAAGAATCACAGCCAGTGCAGTTGGTTTCTAAAATAATTTAACATGTAATCAAAATAATGTTATAATTATAATATTGGAATTTATAAAGCGTCAAATGACCGAGGTGTATTATCAAAAGTGCTACGCATGTTAATGATAGAAAAGTTAAGTTTTAAGTAATCTTTAAAATGAAGCAACTGAAGAACAGTCTTTAATGTGTGCAGGGAGTGAATTCCAATGTATATTTGCGGCAAAAGAAAAAGATGTATGGCCAATAGTTTTTGAGGATGTACTGGGAACGGTGAGCAAAAATTTATCAGATGATCTTAGGGTGCATAAGCTGATGAATGTAGATTGGTTGCTTAAACAGAAATGCTTTGAAAGTAAGTAGCAAGATCTTGAACTGAATGTGTGAATCAATGGGAAGCCAGTGAAGGTTTTGGACAACACTAGTATACTCAGTATTTCACACAGGTGATGGGTCATACAGGTCATATTATTATGTGGTGATGTCATGTTATTATTGTATTGATGTCAAGAATGTGGTAATATTCATATACAGTATTGTTATACCTTTCTGATGTCATACACATTTAATGGTAATGTTATACCTCTATGAATATATCGTTCTTTATATCGGTAATAATCATATGTCCTATTTATGTGGTGATGATGTCATACCCTACATACATTTTTTTCATAGGTTTGGGTCAGGTAGTTAAAGTAATGCGGACCAAAATCCTGAAATGACTTGAACTCCAGATGAGACATCTGTTTTAAGATGAAGCGATCATCTAAAAGAATAAAATAATTATTAAAAATGATCCAATTTAGCAAAGACAAAATAATAATATGAGCTGATAGATGCAATATTCAGAGTCAGTATGCAGAAGTTGACAATAAGTATGTGGAATGATGAAATTAACATATCTGCAGGAGCAAATGTAAACCACACAGTCATAGTAAAAGTAACTCCACCTTTCGTTTTTAAGAATCTGGAGCCAGACTTTCCTCCTCTTGCAATCCAACTCATACATGCTGACAACGAGCGAATGAACGTCTCCTCACCAGCAGGAAACACAATTGCGCGTAGTTTGCGGAATTCCTCAGCGTAGTAGATTCGGCAATAGAATTTAGCATTGTTGTCAGCAAATTCTTTTAAAAAAAGTAATGTTTACAATATTATGCAAAGGTAAATTTGGATGTGTGGTACAGAATTTCTTAAGATTTATACCAAAAGACTACTGGTGATTTAAAAATGGAAAACTTACGAACTTCAATATGAGGTGATGGTTCAGAGTTTCCTGTAAATCTTTCAACAGATTTTGTAAAAAGACTATCACATTCATCTGCAAAAGAGATTCAAAAATATTATAACTTTGACAATATCATCAGTTATCCTTGATAATTTTTTTAATTAATCAAGTAATTATTAAGTCAATCAAATAATTACTCAATTAGTTTATCAATCAATTACTAAATGAATCAATTAATAAATAGTAAATAGTGTTAATGAACCTGAATGTATGCATATTTTCATTAATGTTAGCTTAATAACTGAACACCATTAGTATTGCTTTATATTTTATGTCCTGTTGCAGCATTAGAGCTTTGGCAACAAAAACATGCAAAGCAGCCTAAGTTGTCACAGGAAGGACGAAAAAATCAGCGTTAGGCAAAGTTGTCCGTCATCTCGATGTAATGGGCTTTCAACCTAATTCCGAGTCTAAGCCAGAGACATATTACAATTATTTTTAAGTACCATTATTTAAATGCTATTTGCTATATATTGCATGAAATAAATAGCATTTGTTAGAAGGATATATGATGGTTAATGCATAATAATTTCCCAAAACTTGAAGTGGTAGAACAGTTTTTGTTAGCATTGATTAAGAGGTTGAAGAAAAAGGGAATGTTAATTATCTTACAGTAGGTTACTTGAACTCATTAACTGGAATAAAATGACATGAGGAGATCTGTAGTGTTTACATATAGGTATTCAAAAATTTAACACAAAACAACGCAATTTATCTTATAGAAGGTGCTATTCGGTTTGATGCTCAAAGGGTAGTTTTACCGATTAGTTATCCTGATTCCCCTGAATGACTCAACACCCACCCCTCCCCCCCCAGTGGCAATTTCTGTAAAAATTTCATTCATAAATCTATTGTTAAATTATATAAAATGTAAACTTGCTTTTCTTTTCAATAAAATTTACTTAATTTCATTATAAATTGACAATTTGTTGAACTGCATTACATTTGTATATATTTGCTAAAAAAAGAATAATGAATTAAAAAGCAGTCAGATGCAAAGCTTACTAGCAGCTGATTCGCTAGGTAACCTATTACCGCTATCTGAATCTGTCACATGATACATTACTGCATCCGCATTGGCCAGTTGGCTATCATCCGGCAGCTTTGTCGGCGGGACGGGTATACCAGACGTGGACTTGGTGCGTAGGAACTGTAGCACACGACTTGTGCGACCTGCAATGCAAGAAACAATTGTCCAGGAAACAGAATTTTAAAAATGATACATAGTTTTAAGCTGGGCACGCACTAAGCCCAACGGTCATCGGCCGACGCGATTCTACGAAGAATGCAACGCCTTGACGCATGTGCAACGGATCGTTTTTGATGGCAATTCATACAGACTGCCATCGACAATGAGCAGACGGATTTGCCTAGCGCTTACAGGGAGTGAAATTGTATTTGTCGTACAACGATAGTACAACCGTTGTGTGAACATCGTACAACGCTGTCAGTGCCTGGCTTTGAACTTGAGTGTGACACAATGGTCAGAGCGCCATGACTGTCATTTATCAGTCATGAGCGCCATTTATGTTCTTACATAAAATTTGATATTGTTCCAGGTCAATGGACGACTGGAGGCATACCAGGCATGTTAATGGTGGTAAGGAATTGATTCTACTACTGTATTTCCAACTCGGGTATTTCATAGTAAGCAAGTTTGATTCCCTCAGTCTAAATTCTCTACATACAATTTAATTATCTGATCTTTCATATTATATTGATTGCAATAATCTTTAACTAAATTAAATTATAACATATTTGTTTTGACTTTTTGTGTAGTAGACACTGTGCTTTCATCTCTCCTTAAGTTGTATGAGTAAATCCAATTTGAGGAACTATGAGATGCGTCATAAGCTAAAGAAAGAAATAAAAAGTCTTCCAAAATTAAGCCTACGAAAAATGCCATGCCTAGGACAGTCTTAGAAGGAACTAAAATGTCTACAATCTTTTTGAACAATTGTTCATGTGAATTGCCAACAAAATGTGAATGGCTTGAGTTAAAAGTTGCCCCACAAAAGAAGTATTTAAAGCAATAGACACACACAATCCCCCTGAGAGCCTCTTTTTTAATGATCTATTGGTCAGGTTGCCAAGCCTGTAATGAGGAAGTTTGACTGAGGTTGTTGGTTAAAACTCTAGCTTACGTGTCAGCCTAGCCATTTTTTTGGAGACATCCGATCCGCTGGAACCATCTGCTTCACGTGCGAGCTTCCGTTTTGTTGTTGGACTACTTTCTGCGGAACTGATGTTGCTGTGGCCAGGTGATGAGGTTCGCGATGTTCCTTTCTGCTGCATTTCACTCAGCTGGATTTTATAAGGTTCGGAACTATGACAGAAGAGGAAAACATGAACATTATTTATGTGTAAAACATTTAAAATGTATATTTGAAGTTGTAGGCTTACTTATACAACCTCAAGGCCGGGTTTCAATCCCTTGCTGTGCATTTCACTTGTGTCCTTAAGCAAGGCACTTTGTCTGCATTGCTTCTGTCCACTCAGGAGTATAAGTGGGTACCTGGTAGGGTTAAATGTTAAAATGCGCTCATTAGCTGCACTGCAACATTATGGATTACTCCCCTGGAGAAGTGAGTTTGTGTTCCATAGGCATTTAATCCAATGACCGGAATAATAATGATAATGTGAAGCACATGCAGGCTTATCATAATGCGCTATAAGTCTACAATCATTATTACTACTATTGTTATTATTATTATTATACTGACAGACTTCAATACCAAGGTTCTATTGTATCGGTCAATTAACCAATCAATCTTTGGTACTTCTATAGCGTCAAAATCCATCAGACTAACAGTGATGTTCTATGCTGCTGAAAAATGCTAACATATTTTCTATTTTCATTATTGTCACCACCAGTATAAATATAATCATCATTTAATCACCATTGTCGTCCATTTCTTACTCCACAATTTACGTATCCTGGCTTCTTACCTGAGAGCATAGGCAATAATAGTGCTTGGTTCTTGGTCCCTGACGATAACAGGTACCACAGTACAAGGAGGAGACGGATAGTGTTCATCCGCAGGACTGCAAAGAAATAAAATAAAGTTGATGAAGGACACTCTTGTTCCAGTATTTTGGTATATATTTTGTGTCCTTCCATCAGCTCAGTAATCTCTGTTTTGATTTGTTTTTTTATGTTGTGTCTTAAAAAATGTAAATTACATGCAACAATAAACAGTTATTCACAAACTCTTTGCAAGCACAGAAAAATTTTAAAGTTATCATTCAGCTTTAATAATTTGACCAAGGTGAATGTCCAGCCCTGTTCAGCCTATCAAATTTTATTTGACAAAAACATACCGTAAATGGTTGAATAAGTGCTGCTCTTGAATAAGTGCTACTCTCGAATAAGCGCCACACCAAACTGATTTTTTTTCGTTAAGCGCCGCTCTCGAATAAGCGCCGGGGGGCTTAATCGAGAGTATATAATATTACCCTGTGTGTAACAAACAGGGTTTTAAATTCAATGTATACAGTGTTAAAATGAATAACTAAAACAATGAAAACACAATCATTTCTTTATAAACGTTTGTTTACGATGACAGGACCAATGATAGGCCTACTGAATGGCCTGGATTGGATTTATTCAGTGTAAACACCAAGGATAGCCCATGAAAGTCAAAAGAAGACTTATTTCCAGTGGGGTCCTTCTGGTGGTGATTGGACAGTACACCGGGAGGCAATCCCCTACTCTTTTCCGAAGAGTGTACTGTGTTCTTTAACGTGCACATGGGCCATAAATGCACACGGGACCAACGGTTTAAACGTCTCATCCGAAAGACGGTGCGCTATTGTAACTTGTATTTCAGCCCTCTAGCAATGGGAAGCAGCGATGGGAATTGAACCGGGGACCTAGAGATCTCCACGGTTCAGCGCACAGACAGTGGCTACCACCAGATTAGCCGACTGAGCTAAGATGAACTACTGGAATATGTGAAATAGGTTACATGGGAACAGGCATGGAAAGCGCCACAGCAATATTTTTTTATAAGCGCCGCTCTCAAATAAGCACCCCTCTCGAATAAGCGCTGCACTGAAGCCTCCAAAAATTTAATAAGCGCAGCGGCACTTATTTGAGCATTTACGGTACAACATGCCTAGATATGTTTGTAGACGTTCATCTGGTTTGTATTAATAAGATAAAATATCGAAACATCAGCACAAAAACAGCGAAACTGTCACAAGGTAATTTTTACCATTCAAGTTCTCAATTTTTTTGATTTGCGAAAATAAAATATTCTATCTTATGAATATATATGGTGATGATAGCATCACACCATGACCATAATGTTAGGCACATCATGCTACACTGTATATGGCCATACAAGAGTTTTTTCTAAGAAGATTTGATAGTCTTATGCAGGCTGTTTCCTCTAGATTTTTGGGGTTAAACTGAGAACATATATGATTAGTTTGACAAAAAAAGGTTAATCCGAATAGAACTTAACACAGCTACTAACTGAAAAAAAATAAATTTAAAAATTTCTCATGGTATTCAATTGTTAGTCATTAGTTACATGAATATTCAACGTACAATGGAGAGTTTAGAGGTGTGAAACTGGAAGAAGTTAGGAAGTTGATGAAGACATTTCTCATTCCAGATCCCGAAACACTCGACCGCTTTTCGATAGATCTTCCAGTATCGGCCGATGTTGACAACTTTCCTGCTCCATTGCTTGTAAAAACTGAAAAATATTTTAACAGTATATTAATCAAGGGTTTATTATGAATCATTCGTACAGCATTTTGATTTTGTCTAGCATTTGATTTATCATGTTACAGTTTCTATTCTGATTCCCATGTACAATTTCACTACACAGATCTCACATTAGTGGTGATTTGGTGTGAAAGAAATAAACTCAAGAATCTCATGTGGCGATTGTTCCACATATGCATTGTCCAGACAAGGAGAATTGTATTTGTTTTTCAGATAGTTTCCACTAGCTATGTATATGTTAGATCATCATCAATAGTGGCTGACTGTAATAGTTTGTAAAAATAGTCTGGAACTTGTACCTCCATCTGTGATATCTACTGCAACCTCATCTTCTGCTTCTTGGCTTTCCTTATTCTCATTATCTTTGGTGTCATCATCAATAACTTCAGTGCTTTTTTCAGATTCGGTCACTTCATCTGTTGAGAGCAAATGTTTGGATACTTGTTTATTATTAAATTTGTTATTAGGGCCTGTGGATAATGCTTCAGCTAGGGAGATGCCATATACACCTCCTGGGCTGTAGACCTAGTAGACTAGATGCAGGCACAATTATAGAACTTGCCTTTTTTCCGGCCGGGGAAACCTCCCCCCACCCTAGTCAGGGAAAAAAACCTGTGGGGCACTTTCGAGAGACTTTGGGCGATGGTCGACTACTCCCCCTTTTTTTCGTCGTCGGCTATGGAAAGTTTTGTTTTTCTGAGCATGTGTAGATTGTGCTTATCTGACTCATTTGCATAACAATACCGCACATAAGGCTAATTCAAGTTAGACGGCTTAAACCAGCCAGCTTCCTATCCTGGTAACAGTTAAAAGTCCTTGCCCAAACGCTCACAATAAGCAGAGTTACGGTCGTCGGCTGTACAACCATCGAACGATGAAGTGAGCGACTGGCTTAACAAACTTCCAATTAAATGCTTTGTACCTTCTTTAAGTTCTTCGGCCTCCTTGTAATGGAGCAAGGGGGCCCTTGTGACTGGAGAGTCAAAAGATGCAGGTGAGCTGCTCATGTTTCCCAATGACCCAGAACTGAAAACAGGTCCAACTTGCAGATCATCACCTAAAAAATTATTTTAAAAATTATTCAGTGCAAAAGAAAATCATAAAATAAAAATTGATTGATTGGAAATACGTATAAAGAACATTTAATATCATTATTATACACTTATAAATGCCTAACTAACATTAAAGATCATTAAACTGTATGAAGCAAAATCTAGACAGCCTCCCTCAAAAATTTAATTACCTCCACCAAGGAGGTTATAAATTTTACACAATAGCTATGTTCACACACGGCAGGTAACGGTTAGCAAGATCCGGATACTGCTAACCGTTAGCTGCTGTGCATTCATACGAGAAAATCCCGATCCGTATACCAAAATGATGATGATCGAATCACTTGCCAATAGGAAAATGGAAATTGTAAACGTGTACGTGTGATTGGTTGATGATAGAAACTCGCTGAACTAGCTAACCGATAGCGCTTGCTAACCGTTAGCGTATCCAGAAAATAGAAATACACAATTCAATTTTTGTATTCACTGCTGTATGTCTGTCTGTTGTGCTGTCTGCCTGTTAGCAAGATTACGCAAAAACTAATGAATGGATCATCATAAAAAATTTAGTGGAATGGTACATAATAATCAAAGAAAGATACCATTTAATTTTCGGAAGAAAAGGTCAAAGGACAAGATCCAGGTCATGTAAATTCAATCTTTTACCTATGAGCATAAAACAAAACAAAGGAATCACCACAGGTATTCAGGCAGCACTCAAGGAAACAATGTGTCTGCTTGAATACGAGGGACGATTCCATTATTTTCTTCAGGGTATGTTGCAGCACTCAAGAAAATAATGAGTCTGAATACGATGGGCGATTCCATTATTTCCTTAAACCTGTCTCTTATACACATCTAGATGTGTATAAGAGACAGACCATATACACCTCCTGGGCTGTAGACCTAGCAGACTAGATGCAGGCACAATTATAGAACTTGCCTTTTTTCCGGCCAGGGAAACCTCCTCCCACCCTAGTCAGGGAAAAAAACCTGTGGGACACTTTTGAGAGATTTGGGCGATGGTCGACTACTCCCCCTTTTTTTTGTCTGGGACATCGGGGCCCCCTGTAAGGGACATCAGACCCCAGTTGGACAAATTCTGGCGCCACCCCTGATTTAATCAAAAGTGGAATAAAGCTTACTATCAGGAAGTTCCCTAAAGCCAGGCATTCAATGCACCCGATGGTCGTCGGCCGACACGATTCTATGGAGAACGCAAAGCCAGGACGCGCACGCAACAGATCGTTATTAATGACGATCTGTTCAGACTGCCACTGATAAACAGCAAACAGCGACACGTCCCCAAACCAAGGACTTTTAACTGTTACCAGGATAGGAAGCTGGCTGGTTTAAGCCGTCTAACTTGAATTAGCCTTATGTGCGGTATTGTTATGTAAATGAACCAGATAAGCACAATCTGCACATGCTCAGAAAAACAAAACTTTCCTTAGCCACACTGCGTATTGGCTAGGCGTACAGCAGCTAGGCCTAGCTTATCTTATTTTTGTTTGTTACGCACCGCTGACTTAGGCTGTTTATCATCACTTCAATATGTCTACCGATTCGTGGAAAAGGCGTATTAAAATCCAAATACTGGCGTTTGTGAGCAATACATTTTAATTTTATATAGGTAAGTAATAAGTATATGAATAATTTTAATGCACTAGTTAGTTGATAACTTCATTCTAATTTGTTTTGGGTCTTTTTTCTGCATTTTTATAAGCGGTTGGACATGGCCTAGGCCGGGTCTAGGCTAGCCTAATCACATCAATTTAAAATCAAATTTGTAGACATACTTGCCTTATATCTTAACTTGCAGGTAATTTTATTGGTAGACTAGTTTGTTTTTAAGTGTGTAAGAATGATTGATTTGCATGCCAAGTAAAATTAGTACCCTTATTTTGCTTTGTTTTACCGTACCGTAATTCTCGGCTAGGCCTAGCTGTACGCTTAGCCGATACGCAGCGTGGCCATGGTGTGTCTATGGAAAGTTTTGTTTTTCTGAGCATGTGCAGATTGTGCTTATCTGACTCATTTGCATAGCAATACCGCACATAAGGCTAATTCAAGTTAGATGGCTTAAACAAGCCAGCTTCCTATCCTGGTAACAGTTAAAAGTCCTTGCCCAAACGTTCACAATAAGCAGAGTTACGGTCGTCGGCTGTACTACCGTCACACGATGAAGTGAGCGACTGGCTTAACAAACTTCCAATTAAATGCTTTGTACCTTCTTTAAGTTCTTCGGCCTCCTTGTAATGGAGCAAGGGGGCCCTTGTGACTGGAGAGTCAAAAGATGCAGGTGAGCTGCTCATGTTTCCCAATGACCCAGAACTGAAAACAGGTCCAACTTGCAGATCATCACCTAAAAAAGACATAACAAAATTATTTTAAAAATTATTCAGTGCAAAAGAAAATCATAAAATAAAAATTGATTGATTGGAAATACGTATAAAGAACATTTAATATCATTATTATACACTTATAAATGCCTAACTATCATTAAAGATCATTAAACTGTATGAAGCAAAATCTAGACAGCCTCCCTCAAAAATTTAATTACCTCCACCAAGGAGGTTATAAATTTTACACAATAGCTATGTTCACACACGGCAGGTAACGGTTAGCAAGATCCGGATACTGCTAACCGTTAGCTGCTGTGCATTCATACGAGAAAATCCCGATCCGTATACCAAAATGATGATGATCGAATCACTTGCCAATAGGAAAATGGAAATTGTAAACGCGTATGTGTGGTTGATGATAGAAACTCACTGAACTAGCTAACCGATAGTGCTTGCTAACCGTTAGCATATCCAGAAAATAGAAATACACAATTCGATTTTTGTATTCACTGCTGTAAGTCTGTCTGTTGTGCTGTCTGCTGTTAACAAGATTACGCAAAAACTAATGAATGGATCATCATAAAAAATTTAGTGGAATGGTACATGATAATCAAAGAAAGATACCATTTAATTTTCGGAAGAAAAGGTCAAAGGACAAGATCCAGGTCATGTAAATTCAATCTTTTACCTATGAGCATAAAACAAAACAAAGGAATCACCACAGGTATTCAGGCAGCACTCAAGGAAACAATGTGTCTGCTTGAATACGAGGGACGATTCCATTATTTTCTTCAGGGTATGTTGCAGCACTCAAGAAAATAATGAGTCTGAATACGATGGGCGATTCCATTATTTCCTTAAAGGGTATGCTGCAGTCTCGCCAATCATTGACAGCCTTTGTATTGTTCGGTATTCAGCCACAGGGCAGAGGTTTGCACTCAATAATCTTTAATTGATTACCAGACAATATAAAACAGATTCTTCCCTACATTACATTGAAAATGCACTCTTACATTCATGAATAGGTTCATGTAGCCTGTCAGGTTTAACAATGGATTTAGGCTCACTAGTAGAAGACTTTGACACTAAGTCGTTGCTCCATGTGGATGCCCTTGTAAGCTTGGCTCGCTGAGATGGGCTGGTAGGCTTTGAGTTGGGCGATACGCTGGGTACGGTAATATCCGTGAGGGAAGCAAAGGAAGACTGTAAAATATAGTAATAAAAAAATTAATTTCTTACATGATGCAATGAAAAGAGACCATGTAAAAATTAATAATTGTTGATAGAATACAGTAAATAAATACAGAATGTACAAATAACCTTTCTGGCCAACTCATCTTTCTCTGGCTTTTTAACTTAAATTTCATCTTTCAATTATCAATCTTATATAATATACATATATGTGTTAGATTCATATTACTTTAAATTATATTTTTAACAGATGTACAAAATATATTCATAAAAAATAATTACAATGTCTTCATTTTGTTCCAATACTTGATGACCAGAAGATTTACGTAGTATAAGTGGGCTTCTATTCCTGCGACTACGTTCAGTTCGGTCAGCCTTGACGAGGTGGAATAACTCATTAAGTCGTGAATTCCATGTGACAACGGTTTCATTAATCATTTGTTTGGTCACCGTAATGGAGTCCTCGATGTCGAGTAGCATATTATGAAGTTCATCTTTGAATTGAAAAAAAAAGTAAAGGTGCAATCACACCGAATCCAAATTTTTAGATTGGAAAGCTTACCGAAACGATTAGAAAATAGGATCGGTGTTCAGGCCATTAGAAACGCAGCACAAATTTTGGTTCGAATTTGATTTGAATGCAGTCTAAGAAAAAAAATGAAATATTTGATGTACCCAGATAAACAAACAAAATGTTATCAATTTTTGAATAAGATCTGTTTACTAAATTCTTGGGTGGGTACCTACGTTATTATAGGGGTTCCAAGTTTAGAAGAAACCACTTCAAGGAGATTTGGTTAAATGAGTTTTCTTAACAAACCTAATTAAATTTTGCTGTGTGTGGTGGTACTCATCGACAGGAGACAATTGATAATACAGTAGAAAAAAACATGCAATTATCATGGATCTGGGAAAAATGGATCAGTTTCCTGAAGATTTTTTATTGCTCTATGAGTGCGGGAAGCTGTCCTGATTTCTGGGAGACTTTCGCAACTTGCGGGAAACTCGGACCCCTGCAATGGACCTTTCCGATGTGCCAATCAAACTTAACAACTGACCAATCAGAACAGAGTCTGGAGTAAACGTGTCCAACACACACGTGTTGTCCCACAGGCCCATGCTTACGTATGTTTACTCTATTGTTTTGCGGGACATCAGCAAATAATATATCCAAGGGAAGGGGCTGGACGGAAAGGCCCATTAACTGAACATGCTTAAAGTATTCTTATATTTGGTTTCCTCACTTGGTTGAGTAAGTAAATGTTCAGCCATATCTGCAAGTTGGTCAGGATTTTGTTGGTCCAGCACCTCAAGTTTGGTCTGCATCAAATCAATGTGTGTTCGGAAGCTAGTCTGATCGGACTGCAATCAATAAAAGAAAAAAAATATTAAAATAGTTTATTCTGTAGTCAGATTCATTAATATAGCCCATTTGTAAAAATAACAATTAAAAAATATATTTGAGTTATATACTTTAAACAATCCCACCCACATTCACTGCCAGTGTGAATGGCTGCAACTAGAGTTCATACTAAGTTATTTTCTGGTATACATAGAAAATTTTCTGGTATCACTCCAGTATTTACCTCAATTTTTCTCAGTTTGGCAGTATAGAACTAATGAGTTCCTGTTTATCCAAAAAATACTACCTTGTTAAAAAATGACTTAATACAGGAACAAGAAAAGGATTACCTTGTTTTGTTGGCGCAGATTGTTAATTTTTTGTGCTAGGGTGGATGAGTTCTCTGCATCTTTAAAATTTAGCAGATTCTCTAACACCTCACTAAATAGTATATTTCCCCTGATAAAAAAAGAGAAGATTCTTCAAGAGGTAGATCATTACCATCACCACCTGACCACCATGATGATGATCATCATTATCACCACCACCACCACTACCATCACCACCATCATCATCATCACCAAACACCACCACCATAAACACCACCATTATCACTTCCATTACCTTCAACGTCACCATGATTACCATCATCATTATCACTACCACTACCATCACCACAAGCATCATCACCACTCCAAACATCATCCCCACCACTACCATCATCATTATTATCACCACCACCACGACCATCACCACCATCACAATCATGACAAACATTATCATTACATGTATTATATATATTTTATATTCCCAAGCCTTGGAAGTGTGACAGCTACCTACAGCTTATCAACCTAAAAGGAGGACAGAGTGGGCATCTTACCTGCGCACTAAACTTTGAACTATCTTCATGTACTTAGCATGCATTTGGTGTTGGCATTTAAGATAGATTGGATTAGGAGGAAAACAAACTTCACGCAGGACAATTGTACTGTATCTGTAAAAAAAAGAAAAATAAAACATTATTTAAACAGAAAAAATATGAAGAGATATAGCTGAGACTATGTGTCAGAAAAACACAAAACAGCATAAACCACAGATTCCAAAGTGTGCAACAACAGCATAAACACAAATTGATTGGATTTATAGCTATAAAGATGGTTGAAAAGTATAGACTCACCAGTAAAATGAGCATTTTTTGCTAAGGGAACATCCAAAATTTTCATCATTTTCGCAAGTGTACAAAACCTATGCTTTTTTGGAGGGTTTTTAAAATATTGGGTTGGGGGGGGGGCATTTGACAGGGTAGGGATTAATATTCTTTTATGAAAAGATAAATGGGTGGTTAAAAAATGACAATAATCATCTTCTATTTGTGTAGTCTTTCAAGAGAAGGGACATCACAGAAAAGTATGTTTTGTATTCTTGTAAAAATGTTGAAAACAATGAATAACCCTTAACCCACATATGTTTAACAAATTAAATTATATTTGAGTTATTTCTTGTATTAAGAATGCATATAAATTATCAACCTGAAAATTCATGATATCTCAGTTCATTTACATTTTCATAGGAGAGGCATACTTTGATTTAATAATTGTACACATCAATTATAACCAGACTTCAGAAAAAATAGAAGTAAACTGTTCATAAACAACATATGAAAAGATAACAACACTGTACTTGAATGACGCGACAATATTGAGGTATCCAAAATATTGGTAATGATGACGGTGAAGAGAATGAGGACAAGTTTCAGCGCAGGCACGTCGGTTGTAGTCCATGCCATAGAAACGGAGCTCCAAGTACTTGGCGAACGACATTGACCATGTGTCACTAGACAGGGGTTGGACTGGAGTTACCTGAATAGAAAGTACAGAGATCGTGAATAATAAAGTGACTAGTAAAGAAAGATAATGATGCTGGTAGTAATGCAAGTACTAGAAATGATGATGATGACAATGAGGATGATTTATATACTTAGGTATCATGGTACAGTAAGTGCTTAGAGACATTTTTTAACATGAAGCGCTACAGTAGACAAAGCCAGGCTCTAACAGTGCCTGTCGGACTTCGGCTGACGCGATTCTATGGAGAACGCAACACCACAAGACGGGCAGAACGGATCGTTTTAATGACAATGCATTTAGATTGCCACTGACAATCAGCGGACTGTGTCACGTCGTCTAGCGCTCACAGGGACCAGAGTTGGATTTGTCAACCGATGGACGTACGACCATTGAACGATGCAGTGAGTGCCAGGCTTAAGACATATTAATATTACTATCATAATCAAAATCATTAAGATCATCACCACTATCACAATCAGAAACTTTGCAGAGTGTGAAATATTTATGAAAGAGAGTCTATAACAAGCAGTATATTAACAAAATCTCATTATTATAATTATCACTGTCAGCATCATTTTTTTCTGTCAATGGTTTTTTTTTTTCAACTTTGTTTTTTCTTCATTTTTTTGTCTTTTGTGTGATCTTACAGTATGCTGTACCAATATTATGTGTTCACAAATCACAACAATTATGTATTTATACTTCATTACAATTTAAAACAAAATTAAAAGAAAAGTTAATTGAATTTCATAAGCATACTTTTTTTTATAGTAGGAGAAAATTCCACATTTCCTGTAATTCTATGTTATTACATTCAGTTAAATCTTTAGTTCTGCATAAACACACACACACACACACCAACACACCCACACAAATAAATA